CCCCATATTTTCACTGTCTTCCAACAATTTGATGCATCTTCTGAAATGTTTTAGAAGTGGATAAACTGTCCTCCACCAGAAAGAACAGTAAACAAAGCTTTAGCCAAACTATTTATTGAAAACTGAAGATTCAAGTAAGCAAGAGATTGTTTCTCATGGTTTAATTATGGGCACCATAATAGATTCTTTATTACACAGATTTCCTAAAGGGCTTCCATAAAATATTTTATTCTTCCTCTAAAATAGAACTATTACTGCTAACTTTTGAAAAAATTAAAATAGGTAGATATGGAAAATATTTAAAACAGGTTTTGAAAAAAGTCACAAAGAGTATGTCTCAAACTGAGATTTTTGGGTCTGGTATGATTCCATTGCTTGAAACCCAGACTTGAAGATGTGTAGGTGTACTGTCATGTGCTCGACTTCACGCTGCATTCATGCCAACAGCACCCCTGTTAATGGCACCTATAATAATGACCTGCATTGGTGCATTGATTCCTACAGCAAAGCCTTCAAGTACAGTAAATAAAACAAGAGGTCATAAGGTTGTGAGAGCAGATACTACATAAGGTGATTTTTTTTTCTGTATTTACTATAGAAATACATGGAGTTGCACAGAAGGACCTACATCAAATCCAAATACCAAAAAGGCTGAAAGGGAGAGAATGACCTTCCTTTTCGACCTCTTCAAAGACCAAGTAAAAGTCTGTTTGTTTTTTGACTCTCAGATAAATGATTATGCCATTCATGTATATCTGCACATGAGCTGCTTTAAGAAAACAAAACACATCCAAAGCTGCTAACTTTCTGCTGTTCAACATCTGCTGCAAGAATAAACTATGGCCAGTATTCTTGAACAAGGACAAAAAAAAAAAAGTTATTTCAAAAAACCCTTAGTTCTCAGAACATAAGCATGTATTTTCTGTTATTCAATTTTTTGTTTAAGTGTCAAAAGCACCAAGCTGATAAATATTTACTGTTCCACTGTCAACAATATCAAAGGCGCCGGTGAAATTATCGATGTGAAGAAGTGCTAATTTCTTCCTGAAGAAAGAATTCCAAGTGGGCACCAGTTCATCTTGAGTGCACCAAACTGCTCAAAGAATTGCTTTTGCCTCCACTGTACTTACTACAGTTATCGTTTTAAAGGTTCAAATTATTTCGTCTCTCCACCCCAAATTTTGTGTTCTTTCATCCTGATTTTGTGGAAAACTTCAGTTCACAGCCCTTTTTAATTTCAAATTTCTTTCATTATGTACACCTAGGCACCTGACAAGACACACTAGAGAATATTGCAGCAACCCTTGTTATTAAACTGCTTGGTTTTGTTTACTTATGTAATTCCTTTTTTTCAATTACATGCTTTCACATTTTGCTAAAATATTTATTTACATGCTACATGTTCAATAAAATTCTCCAGGTCAGCTAGGGAATCACGAAGAGAATCATTCATATCTTGACTTCTGAGAAACTTTCCAAGGGTATCTAAAGCACTCAAAGCCTCATTTTTTGATGGTAAAGGCTGTTCAGCTCCCTGAAATCGATCACCTTCATCCTCACCTTCATCACCAACAAATGGCCCAGCTTTATCTGATGCCCTTTCTTTGGCACACATCGTTTCAATATTCGTGGGCATTTCGCAAGTTACCAAGCCATCATCTAGAGCTGCATATTCCTCCAAAGATAAACCTGCTGGAAACTCCACTCCAGCTGCCCGTGCATGTGCAATCAAATCAAAATCACTTTCAACCTCTGTGTCGTTACCATTTGCCTTGGTTTCTAATTTGAATCCGGCTTCATTATAACTTTTTACAATAGTCTCTTGTGTTACTTTCCTCCAGCACAGGTGCAACATCTCAATTGCATCAAGAAGAGTCAGCATAAACTCTTTATTACCTTCTACGCAGTCAACAAATCTCTTGATAAGACAGCGTCTGTATTTAACCTTCAGACTCCTGATAGCCCCTTGTTTTGTAGCTATACATGAAGGAGAGTCTGGAGGAGAGAACACTAATTTGACAGACTTCAGGTTCTTTACTTCTGTGTGAGCTGGGAGAGAATCGACAAGAATAACTACTTGTCGCTGCTGCGCTTGAAATCTGTCATCAAGTTTATGCATCCACTGTTCAAACACTTCTGAAGTCATCCACGCTGCATCATTTGCTTCAAAATCCACAGGTAGCGACTTCACATCTTTGAAACAGCGTGGACTTTTGTTTTTTCCTATAACAAGCAAAGGAAGTTTCTCGGAGCCATCCATATTTGTACCCACTGCCACGGTTATTCTCTCTTTGCTTACTTTACCTACAGAACAAGTTTCCCCTTTAAATGCAAATGTGTTATGCGGTAACATCTGGTACAACAATCCGGTCTCCTGTATATAAAACACGTTTTTTGGCTGATAATCATTTAAATAACGAGGAAGAACATTTTGGTACCAAAGAGTTGGAGTATCCACTGTAGTAGTAGCAGCTGCTTCTACAGGCTGAGCTCTGAAAACTAAGCCATACCTTGACTTGAAACGATCGAGCCAGCCCTTGAACCCGTTGGCCCCAGCCATTACTGCATTTAAAATCACTATGTCCAAGCTTCTGGGCAAAATCATTAGCTTTGAGGCGCAACATAGGACCGTTTACCGGCACATTCAAGCACTGAGCAATTCGGTACCACTTCACCAATGCCTCCTCCAGGTCGGTATAAAAAGCAGTCCTTAGTCTTTTTCTTTTAGGATCAAATCGCAAAGATTCAAAGGCCTCCAAAACTTTTTCTTTATTCTTCATAATTGAAGACAAGGAATTCTTCTTTATGCCGTACTCGGCTGCGACGTCTGCCTTTTTCTTGCCGCTCTCCACAGCGCTTATGATGCCCAGTTTCTCCTCAATAGATATGCTTTTTTTCTTCCTCACTGTGGGTTGGGGCAGAGGACCCCCCGAAGCCCCTGCCATGGCACACCCACCCG